AAGAGCTTAGTTCCTCTCCTCAAACACTGATTCTGCATGATATGGGGCTTCCTTGAAAGGCAGCTGAGGAAGATCAGTACAGAAATACTTGACGTTTTGCAAAATGGGCCAAAAAAAAGATGATCAAATGCTAATGAGGAAAGGTGGTGCGTGAAATCTGGTGGTCTAATTCCACTGGTTTCAAAAGGGAGTAGCAGAATTAAAGGCTTTATCAGCCTTCCAGATTCTAATGCTCCCCTTCAAGTCACTACAAGACTGAAACCGCTCTGAGCTGATTGCCAGGACTTAAGTAATCAGGATGGCAGGTGGAAACAAATAAAATACTATTTAGTATCACTAGAACATGGGCAGGAGTAAAACCTGCCTAAAACACTGGTAAACCACTGAACCACTGGAGACTGCTAATGTGAAAATAAACACGGTAACTATTTAATTATTTCAATTCCTAATGATTTTAGATTTGTTTACTGAAAAAGAAGGGCAATCTTCCTTGCTGACATATTACAGTAGATAAATTTTAAAAGCTAATTGCACTTGGGAGTTAAGGATAAATTGACATGCTCTTAAATACACAAGGTTTTTTCTCTCTTATTCTCTAATGAGTTTATAATTAAATTGGAGAAATTGCTAGAATTACTCCAAGTACTAGTGAAAATAACCTTCTTGTGTTCAAGTACAGTAAATATATAGTTGAAATACGAACGGTATTTGTCTGTCCCCTTTAAAGTTTAATGCCAACATATCCTCATTTTGATTGTCAGGTTTTGAGCTGAATGTTAATGAAAACATTTCCCTATAAATAAAAGTAAAGCACATTTTTGTACTCCCATTTCCACTGAGCAAAGTTCTGCTTTGGGGTACATCACAGAGGGATATTATTTTATTTTTGCTGTCATGTGCATGCCAGAATAACACCCCATATATAACCCCATTGATCCATCCATGTAAGGAAGAACCCAGGGCCTGGCACCCAAGCTGTGGGGCACGGCTCTCTGCAGCATGAGTGTTGTAGCACCAGCAACCCAGTGCTATGGGGGCCTCAGGGCAGGATGACAAAAAAGGCGGAAAAACTCAAGCCACAGAGTAGCAAGTATGCCTTCCTCAAGTGCAATTCGGTCAGATTCTGAGATGGATTAAATTAGGAAAAGATAATGTGAGAGCAAGTAACTGTTAAAACGGAGGACATTTTTCACATGCATACTGCAAGTTAGAGGTTTCTGTTACTGCTGGAACTGCAAGTGTAGCTGAGGCAGGGTCAGAAAACTCTGAAGCTTAAATACAGAAGCTTCAAGGCAAGAAGAATATAAAAATAAATTCGAAAGGGCTTAATCACATTGTATAGAGGCTGAGTATTCTAGTGTCAGAAAGAAACTCTTTGCTCTTAGATCAAAAACTAACTACGAAAGAACAATGTGGGATGAGATCTTCCTTTGATTTAGCTAGATAGTCATTCTATAACCACTGGGGATATATATATATATATATATATATATATATTTACTATTGTCTAAAATTATAGTTAACGTGCAGTCTAAAAATGTGCATATTATTGACAATATAAAAGTTGAACAAAAAACATTTTGGAATGAATCCAGCTAAACCTTTAGCAGTCAGATCTAAAATCTGCTAGGAACCTCTTGCTTGACTTCAAAGGAACTATTATCAGCACTTTAGTGAAATTCAACACCAACCAAAAAAAAAAAAAAAAAAAAAAAAAAGAAAAAAAAAGAAAAAAAGAAAAGAGCTGTGTGCTTACTGTCAGGGCTGTCCTTCTCATGGTATGTGGGATCCGCACAGCCCACTGCACGTCCACCTCCTCAAGCAGTGAAAGGAGAGAAACCTTCCTGAGGTAATCACATGGGGTACCTTTGATTCTCTGCTACAGGACAGAGAATTGTCTACTTTTTTCCTAGTTTCCCATCCCAGAAGACTTTATTTATGCATTAATCGACCTTTCTAGCCGTTAGGACCATCTTGCTTCAGCAGTTAATTAACACAAGTGCCATAATTTAATACAGTTAATGCTACTTGATGCCCTTTAATGTACCTTCCATTAGTGATATTATTGTAGTATTACCCTGTAAATTAAAATGAGATCAAGACTAAGAGAGGCTCTCTTTAATTAAGGTACTGGCACACTACATCGTCCATTATTCACTAGAAAAAATCACTCTGATTTAGTGAAGCAGGCCATCAGTAAGTCAGAATTAGTTCATGTGGATTATTAGGTTCCTTGAATAATATGAGCACAATGGGGTTGCTGAAATTGCTAACAGCCAGGCGTCCAGGTTTCCTTTTTTTTTTTTCATCATCTTAATAAACACACAATGAAGGAGGTAAACTGAAGATGAACAAACAGGTAGTAATAGAGGAGGTAAAGCACCCATTAAGAACACACTGGCTTTCATCTTTGATACGTCAGGCTTATTTCACACCAAACTGCAAAGCAGTGATGAAACAAACCATATATTAAGTGGGAAAATCTGTCTTTAATTCATTGTGAAGTATTAAATATTTCAGCATTTTGTATATTAAATTTGGCGTCTTTAAGATAGATATTTTCCATTGGTATTGATTCTTAAAATACAGCATGAAACAAATTTTAGGCTGCCATTAGGAACATGCTATTTTAAGCTTTGGTGATTTTAACTTTATTTAAACTACAGGTTATATTTTTAACAAAGGGACTAGCTTCCAAATGTGTCTGCTAGCATCAAGCTTTTAAGTATCATCCCTTTGTATCCCATCCTCATGGAATCCTATTCTAGCTTTACCTAAATCTCAAAGTGTGTGAAAAATGTGAAAAATTGTGGCAAAAAAGAGAGAAAGATTATAAATTAATTTTCAGTTAATATCCTAGATTAAAGTACAATGAACTGGAAAGTTCATCTGAATCAGAAATGAACACAAAACAACCTGCAACTCTTGCCTCTTCTCCTTCCAACTCCTATAATTCTGTGAGTCTGTATTCCCACACATGCTGCCACCATACCAGGGCATGTGGCCAAAATGCTTGTTTGGAGACCTGGCAGAGGGACCCTGTAGAGTTTCTGGTAGGAGACCACAAATATGTCAAACAGGGGCCTGTTGCAAAAGACTCTTCAGTGGGACCAAATAATCAGGGCATGCATACCTAGTAATAAGCAAGCCCACAAATTATTTAATAAGAAAGGCTAGCTATGTGTTGAAGGTAAGGACCCCAAATCTCCAAAGAGCTGTCCTTATTAGCAGAAGAGTAATGAGAATTCACACAGATCTAATCTAGTGAGACGGTATTACATATCAGATAATTCTGTTAACATATAAGTTGAATTACTGTTGCATTTAGACAACAAGCTTCAGCATCAGATAAGTTCTCTGTACAGTTAGGCTTCATTTTTATAGATAATTTTTCAAAAGACTGCTATCCCACAACTATGTTTGGAAGGTTTCAGTTTCTAATATGCATGCAGTGCACTGTTTTTTGTTTTTTTTTTCCCTCCTCAAATACTTTTTTTGACAAGACACTGATAGTTTAATTGAAGCATTCCTGGGTTTTCAAATGGGAAGCAACATTTTCTTTAAGTGTAAGGAACTTAAAATCCTGATCTCTAGTCCAATCTCTCTGTATATATAACCTATTGGAGCCTCATGGAGAAAGGATACACATGAAGTAGAACATATTTGCCAATTTTGATATGCTGGAGTTAGTATTACTAAACTATTTCAAACACTGTCCTAAGTTGCCCGTGATTCACTTAACCCGAATATGGGTGTGGATGTAGACTGTAACTACATGCTAAATCTATGGTCCTGCAGAAATCCTTATGCATTCAAGTCTGCACGTGTCCTTCATACAAATTCCGATCATCTATTTTTCAATAGATCGCATCACATTAACTTGATTCTATTTTGACTTTATCGATCCATTTTTATATCATGGAAGTACTTAAGAACTTGAAAGGCTTGTATAAAAGAGGGAGAAAATGGTAAACTCATGAAAGGAATGTTATGATACCAGTGTATTAGACATTTCATATCTCTATTATTTTTCACTTGTTCCTGTGCCTGGAAAAATACCTCAGCCTTCTAAGATAAATTAGCTTTCCTGTTTGTAGCTTCTCTTAAGAAATATATAAGTAAATAAAAAGGAAGATTTGAACTCTCTGAAGGTACAGAGGAAAACAAAAAGGCAAAAGAGTACATTAGTGAGTTGAGTGAACAGCTAATAGAGAAGGTTCCATTTGTTTCTTCTGAACAAATATGCATCTGAGACACACATTAACGATATCACCCTTCTGCTTGAGGTCATCAGTCAATTGCTAGTTAGAGATGGTAAGGAGATTTCCCTATACGAATGTCACTGCACCTTTATTATTTTTGAGTCTAGGACACCTGATACCAGCCCTTGCTTGCCACAGAGGGCCAATCTGTCTTGAACCTGAATGAGTAATAATCTTTGTTGCATTCAGATCAGTCTCACGCCCTCCAAAACACTGCTGGTTTTTCCATTCTGCTTCAGCTTCATGGCATTTCAGAGCTAATTAAAGTAAAAGGAATGGACTCTCATCTCTGTTGCCTCACTGTTTATATAAAGTTTGCCCTACTGGAAAAAGTCTATGCAAAGGCTGCTGTATCAATTGATTCTTGCATTAAAGGCCCAGAAAAAATAATGAAATTGAATCCTTCTTCTCAGTTAACTGCCCACAGATGAGGCTTCAACTGTATAAAAGCAGAAAGAGAGTCCCTGAAAAGTGACATAATGCCAAGTTGAAATCCTGAGCATTGTAAGAAAACACTTTAATCATTCAGGGCTTTGCAGGCTAGTGACAGCAAACACCCATGATTTAGTGCCACTGAGTCAGAAACTTCTAGTACTGTCAAAAGTCACCAATTGAGCCAAATTTCCAAAGAACACACTTTGGTTGCTATTCTTGTTATGTTTGGGGAAAGAAACAGTTTTTGTATAACCTCTATAAACAAACGCATATGCTTGTTCCTAAAGGTTTATAATCTCTTACCTTCCATATACCCTTATGTCTGAGATGGCATAAAAGTACCGTGCCAGGTGTTGCTCATCTACATATATTTCTCCAGTTGCTGGTCTAAGCAATCTTATCCTCAGATCTGTGATGGTAAAGAAATCTCTTAACTTCTTGGTTGTGTCAAGCTGGCCATAAAGAGAAGCCATATTATGAAGCCGAGGTCCAGCAAAAAAAGCAAATCTATCTTTGATTTCAAAGTGGATTATTTTACTGTTTGTCATATATCCAGTAGAGTATTCTTCTGTGCAAATGATTTCTAGGACTGTATGCTGTGATAAATCCCTCACTGATTTTGGATCCATGTGGAAAGCATCTAAACAGTCTGTGGCATAATATTGGTAGGGCTGCCATGTTCGTCCATAGTCGAGGGATTTCTCCAGGATCATTTGGTCTGGACGGCCAGATTCAAAAGTGATAACTATGTTATCTGTCAGCTCAATGGTTTTGTTCCAGGAGAGTGTAATGTTAACATGAAGAGGCTTTGGATAATCCTTCCAAGTTGTGGACTGCCAAAATGTGGATGGATGTCTTCCTTCAAGATCAAACATCAATTCTGGAGGATGAGCCAGTTCTTGAGTACTTGCATCACATTCATTATTGCACATGTAGGGGTTCCCCTAGAAAAAAGCAGAACAGGTTTACAAGAGGAACAGTGTAGTGACTGTGACACATAAAGATGTTTTCTGTTTGGCACATGAAAATTGCTGCTTTTAATTCAGGAGTGAAAGTGGGAAAGAAGAAATGAGTGCTTGCAAGAAATACCTTTATCTTAACTAGATTTATCTTGTACATTTTACCTTATACCTAATGATCTTACATTAAGGTAAATGTACACAAAAATATACAGCACATTTACTTCCATGTTGTAAACATTTTCCTCAGTATATTTTAGAGAAAGAAACTCATTTATTTACCCTTGTATTGGACTTATGTGGCAAGATTTTGTTAGCAGGAGTGGGAGTGGAGTGACTAGTCATACAAGACCAGGAACAGTAAAGAAGTATCTAACAGGTTAGTAAGTCTGACTCTTAGAAAGATTCAACAGCCAAGAGAATTCCTTTTTAAAACAATTATGCTCCTCAAGAGCTCCATTCATAAAGGAAGCAATTTTTAGGTGAAAATTATTGAAGTCAGCAGTATAGCCCCTACACACTCCGTATGAAACAATAGGCAGTACAACTTCCCTTTCACCCAGGCGTGAAATGAAACATGCTTAACTGTATTTTCAGCCTAGCACTGTCCTTAAAACACTGACACTCTCCATCAGAAGTCACTAGAAAAATTAGTGCACCACAAGTTTGATTCAGACTTCTGCCACCTTATTACAGGGTAGAAAAGTACTTCAGGAAAGACTTTTCATGAAGCACAGCCTCCAATTTATCAGGCCAAGATAATCCACCACTTGATTAGGTGGGAGATGTCAGCAGCTGCAACTGGAATGCTGCCGAGGTGGCTGGAGGTCTGAACTGTGGATTGAGTTAAAAACAGCAACAAAAAGAGCTTGCCAATAATGCACAGCTTTTACTGCTACTTGTCCTCTGTAGCAAGGTGAAAGTGAATTATTCTCTCTCTGGCCTTTTGATGCATTAGCTTGCAAGCTACAATCTTCCTCTCCTTCACAAAGGCTATTTTGTCTACAGATTGGGGTATCTTGCAGCAGTTGCCAAGATATCAGACCCCGCAGGCTGCACTGAATCACGTCCATCCAATTTAAACTTTCAACAGCACATTAATATTTTGCTACTTGTTCATTCTGCATTTATTTTGGAGAACAATAGCTGCCCTGTATCTTTCTCTGTGTACAGTATGGATTGTGGAAGAAGTTATGTTTTTTGTCACTGATGGTCTGCACTGCTGGGGAAAAAGTTGCACACATCTGTATCTACGAGTGCTGAATGTGGACATAAGTGCAGCTGCGATTGTCATTAATCAGACTTCTCCTCACCTGTCCTGATAATAGAACAAGCCTTGGTATGATGATCAACCTTTTCTTTTCTTACAATTACAATTATTGCTTCTCTCTACCTCGAGTCCTCGGGGCAGTGAGGCTGTTCAATGCCATCCAGCATATAAAATGAGCTTCAAACATGTTTCCACCTTGGTCACAGCTCTGCCCTTTGGCATACTCCCATGAAACACAAGAAAAATGACTTCGGCACTTACTTTCACCTCCCCACAAGCAACTCCTCTTCCCTGCACAGGGAAACACTTTTCTCCTGTCACTCTCCCATTAATACAGCTGAATCCTAAAACTTACAACAATTCTTCAGGACTCAAAGTTAAGAAAAAAATAAGAGTTATTTGACAAGCAGAATGGTACTCATTAAGCAGAAGGATTCAAAACACGGAACTGTAACTGAGAAAATTCTGCAAAATGTGTCTATAATAAGTTCCTGCCACAGTTTTCTTGATTTCAAGCTCACGGTTACTATTCCTATTCCTTCCTTTTGAATAAAACAGTGAAAATCAAAATAAGTTTCAAGCAGAATAGATAAAAGACTGACTTTTTTTGTTACATAGCTCAATTTCATATAGCAGATATGAATACAAGGACATGCCACCTTACTTAGGCATTTCCCTTAGGAAAAATATGCACACTATGAGATCTACAAGGTTCCATACACTTGGAATAGATGTAAATACAAATCTTGCAGAAAATACTCAGTTACACGAGGCACACCTTTCTGAAGTTTACTACAAAAATCCAATCACTTCAGTGGCTATCATCGTGAAGCTGTCTGCATAGCTATGATGTGTATCTTCTGCCATCTCCTTGGCAAAAGCTGTATCACTGGGAGGTCACAGGTATTGAAACATAGTAAATAAATGCTACTGGATAGCAAGACACTTGTTAAGCATTGCTCAGGGATGTCTTTGGTTTCCTACAGCACCAGCAGACAGTAAGACCATTGTAATTCATGTTACAAACCAAACCTAAACGCTGCTCTGAGTCCCTGGGTAGAGGAGAAGGCATGTTATGTGATTCTGAGTGGGTATCCAGATTGTGGATTGTGCACAGTGAATGCTAAACATTGGCATTTGCTTGCTTCTGAATGGTACTCTGTATCTCTGTGGGCACAAAGCTTTTTGAGAAAGTTGATGCTACTCCACTTAATGGCAGAGCACAGTGAGACACAGGCTGGGATGACAGCACCGCTCCACAACTGAATCTGATCTTACCAAACCATGCTGTAAGGAAAGCACTGCAAACGAGACTTCAGGTACAAGGCTTTGGGCATTTCTTCCACCAAAAACGAAATTATTCTTTTAATTCTATAGCACTCAATTCTCATTAAGGGGACAAATGATTTGATTACACCCAAATAACCCACGTGGAGTTCAATATTCCAGAGAGGAAATTTGAAATAAAAATAAGCCAATATAAGCTGATAAAATAAATGTCCTGAATTCTAGCACAGGGATGAGGAGATAAATTATAATGATAGGTAAGTTCCCATCTGCCTGCTGGCATGGCATTCAATGATGTAATTTTGTAATAGTTGAGTATTGCTTCAGAGGCTTAGAATCAGATCCTCAATTTTTCTACACATAACTTGGCTTTAAACTGTTTCTAATTAATCTTAAAGGTAATTTATATGTTAAATCATATTTATACTACCAAAACTGTGTAAAGCTGTCTACATGAAAGTTCTTTAATACATGTTAGTGTGAAACAATTCAATTAACTGAGATTAGTTACGTATTTTAATGTCTACATCTCTAAGATAATCCTTTGTAAGACCTCTATTTCAGTACAATGAATACAACACAGAAAACTTTCCCCAGTTTGTCAAAACTAAGCACATTCTGTGGTAGGAATGTCTAAATGACCAAAGCATTAGCAGCGATAAGTAATTTTGTGACCAGCAGGCAGTTGGAAATAGATCTTAATTTAAGTTCTCCAAGTAACAGCTTTTCAGCTGGACAAGGTGAAAAATATTTATGACTTTTTAAAATGATATTTACATCATTAAGAGATTTCTAAATAATTAAACGCTAATAAATAATTCTAAATGCTTCACTGCCAATTAACATAAGAGGTTTCTGAGGTTTCTCTATAGCATTACAGGCTAGAAAAAAACCACTGTTTTGCTGTACAGTAATTGGTATTAAATAGCTTCTTGCAGGCAGTCAAATTAAGTTGCTATTATTTTATTTTATTCACGTATGGAATTCAAAATATTGCCAAAACCAGTACCACCACAGTTCAGACGGCTGGGCTTTGGGAAGTGCCTGTTTGCAGGCTCTGCCATGAAGCCGCAGGGCCTGTGGCTGTATCACACGATTTGATCCTGCTCAGCCATGGCTGAAAAAAGCAGAGTTATCTGAGAAGCTGCTAACTGGTCCCAGGAGACTTTCCCTTCAAGCATATAAATTTAGTTTGTGTTTGCACACAATGTCTCTGTCAGCAAGCTTGAATTCTGATGGAGGTGTTGGGGATGGTGCAAGGGGTGCTGCTGGCCGGCGATCATCTGGACCACTGAGGCGTCTTGCCAGGCCTATCTGTGGGCACAGCTTGGTGACAAATGGAACAATGACCTTTGGGTAAGGATTTAGGATAGAGACAGTGGTAGCGTAACCTTTGAATATCAACAGGGCAGTCAGCAGCTCCTGTTCAAGGGTTAAAATCTGATCACTCCGAGCCAAAGCCTGCATCACAGAGATCCTTCTGTGCCATACACACAGGCTTAGAGCTTGATTGAAGATGTTGCTTCTTTCAGTCTGCTTCCTGTCCGCGCTAACACCTCATGGACTTTTTTACTTGGGAACAAAGACAGGGGGGCTTAACCTTTCTTTGGCGTGAATATTGGAAGCTGTATCACAGATTACATGCTGTAATAGACACCTGGCTAAATCCCTACAGAGGATTATAGCTTGCATTTTCAAACTGGTGAAGGCTGCTGAGGTCAAGCAGGCCAAGATTTTAAGAAGGAGCAAAATGAATTTTCAAGAAGCAAGTCACAGCAACTGATTTTTATATTGCTGCCTCAAGGTAGTTAGCTCAGACACACTAGATAAGAAATAAACACAGTCTGAATCAAACATGGAGTGTTTGATCATTGCATTCAAATCACACTTTTGGAAATAATAGTTTTTTTCTCTTTCAAAGGAGTACTACAAGTATTCCACTCAGTACCTTGTGGTATGTTGCAGATGACTAATTAGATAGTAATAACTGACAGCGACCATTGCTCTAATGCTTACATTTTCGATGTGATTTCCAAATGGGAGTTAGGTGTTTACTATGACACAGCCACATTATTAAACCATTAACAAGGAGATACTGCTCATTAGGAATTTTCCCTTTCAAGGCAATACAGTGGATTGGCAAGGCACAGAATCTGTCGCATAATAGTTTATGTTGTCAAACTCACTACATCCATTAGCTGGTTTGAGAGTTTCTTTGTCAATGTTTGTAGAATTATTGTTGTGAGGAAGATAGGGTTGGCTGTAGACAAGAACATTTTACCATCAATAACCCTTCATCACTACAGTGACAGCATTTTAAGTTAAAGTGATTTAAGCTAAAAAAGAAAAACGCCAAAATCTCAGTGGAAGATTTGATGTGCTCACAGAGCTCCCAGGTGAGAGGCATTTGGATGGTCAGAGAAGCGCTTTGAACTCTGAGCTGCAGGCTGCACACTGTGAATTTGCCAAAACCAGCAGAAAGGAAATAAAAAACTGTTTAAATCAATAACTTCTGGGGAGACTTAAAAATATTAAATCAAAGAGGATGTGATTGGTCAAAACAAATAATAATACTTAACAACTTTGTGCACTTTTAAGCTGGAAAACATGTTGCAGATTATGCCCCTGATCCTGAAAGAAATTCAGTGTAAGAAAATGCCAGATTTTTTTAAAAGATCTATTAGTCTCTAAAGATTTGGCACTTTGTCTCGTGAAACACAGGCCTAACTAATTAATCTTCATGACAATAGCTCCATGAGATAGGGACCCTACCCCAAATTTACATATAGCTCAGAAATAGAAAGACTTCGCATGATGAATTCTCTAAACCCTGTTTATATTGTAATTTCTTCCAAAGCCTTACGGTGTCTCACCTCAGGCAATTCCTGGTACCCAGAGTAGCTCATGAATTATTATTATTATTATTAGATCATGCCTTTCTCCAATACTAGGAACTGAAAATGTTTTGTAGAAAAAAACATTTAAAAATTTGCATTGTCATCTAGAGAAGACTGTTTTCCTCTTTCCATAGGCCTTCTTTGATGTTTAATAGGAATGCAGGGCAGAACTAATCTGATGAATAGGGGGTACAAACTATATCTTCTAAATCTCTACAGGCTTCTGGAATTTTCTGGTTCACACTACCATATCACCACTGATATTATACGATCACATTTGCAAAGGCATTTCATTCCTATCAGAACATTATTTCTTTGTAATTCCTCAAGACTCTTTTCTTTGAAATGCTTTCCAAATTACTAGGCAAGCAGGTTTTTGTTTCTTCTGAAATAAGGACCCACTTCTTGTGGGACAAATCCTGCTCTGAGGCTGCCTTTGAGTTGGCAATGTTGCTGATGTTATTTTGACCACTTGGTAATTCTGGAATTAATGGTATTTTTTGTCAGATTTGCTGGCACTGAGTATATATTTTTGTTGTTTGAGAAATTGTTTTCCTCTTGTATCAGTGGGTATCTGGCAATATAATCACTTTCTTATTTATAGCTTTTGTAATGTCATGAGGTGCACACTACTGGGACCTCATCACACTTAGCTCTGGCTAAACAATATGACAACAGTTCCAAGAAAATCTAAGTTTCTTTATATGCCAGATGCACATTTGGGTTTGAGAAACTGAAATCGCAGGGGACAGAATCCATTCCTGTCAGGATACTGGCACCTGTCCTAGCAAGGCCAGCCTATCTGTCAGAGTCCTCCTCAGATACAGCAGCACAGGACATGGATCACCATGGACCTGCTCAGCTCCCCCTGTGCATTTCTGTCAGACTGGCTCATGCAGCTGTTCTGCCACCCTGCAGGGATCCTGATGGGAAAGGGTGCCCTTCGCTTTACATTCAGTGGTCTGATCCAGACTTCATCTTGCTCAATTTAGAATTTAGAAAGGAAGCCACTTTGGGAAGGAATAAAGAAAGGAACTTTCTACAGTGGCATTCCTGTGTTAGAAAAAGCAATGCTAAGGCAACTGTTGTGATCCTACTGAGGGATGTTCTCAGATATCACAGTGGATCAGAGAGAGAATAGAGCATTGTTAAAACCAAGAAACAAGATTATCTCAATGATGACAGAGGAATTAAGGTGCTGGAAACAGTAAGGATTTTTTTTTCTTTTTCTGTTAGAAATCATTGATTCAGAGTTTCAGTCCTTAAGGGACATCTATTGATTGCAAAAAGAAATATTCTGTGAGGACAAGGTGTTCCCCATCTGCTCTTAACAATCAGTGCCACCTGGTTCCCAGGCCTGGCTCTATTTAAATGCAGGTGAAAGGCTTTTTCTGGCTCTTTCTCCTGGGTATGCTGTAGGCTTGTGTTGATCCTCGTAGAACTTTCTGGGTTATCCTACTGTCCAGCTCTTGCCATGCAGGGGGTTATTAATTGAATCCCTCGGATTCCTGGCTGTGTGGAATGGTGCCCATCCATGAGAGGATAGCTGCTGAAGATGCTCCTGTCTTTTCAGGTGCTGCTCCCCAGAAATTTTGTGTTGGGGAAGATTTCAGGAAACTTTATGGTACTAATATTGCAGTCTCTGTGGGCTGATGAACCACACTGATGTGGATGGACTAGAAAATCCTCCTGGGCAGGGTGGGTGATTGCTGTAAGCTGTGCTTAGCTGATTCCTCCTGTCTATCCCACATGTGTGTGAATACTGTGAGGTATTTTCCTGGTAGATGGCACAAATAACTATTCTGTTTTTATTTCATACAGACAAACCGAAGCAATATATCTGGCTAGTCATGGAGGCAGCAGACATGTGATGGCTTTGGTTTCTGCCTTCTCACTGGCTCCTGAGAAAGTTCCATCTCCTGTGGTAAGGCTCTCTTTTTCCTTCTGGAGAATGGCTCTTGAGTAACATCTGTGGAGACTCATGCAAAGCACTGATGTAATGAATCCTGGCATTTGAGTACATTTAGATATGGGCCAAGAATTTTAGCTTGATTTCTGTGTAAATAAAATGAAATGAATAGAAGAGTGAGATGTGTTGTTTAACTGAAGAGCTGCTATGTAATGTTCAGTGCACTGCTTTCCTGCACTAATTTAGGCAGCTGCTTTTTGGATGGCTCTTCAAATAGAACATCCATCACAGTTCTGAAAAACTGAACTACTGCATGAGGTTAAAAATCAGTTATATAGAAACAATTAAATCTGTAGAAGTATTGAGAAATGAGCATATAGCTTTGTACTAGGTTAAATAAAAATGGTATGTCATTAAAGAGGAGAATTATCATAATATTTGTGACCATATTTAAAAGGAGATAAAAGGAAAGCTTTTCACCAAGGTCTGTATGGTATCTGTTGAGTCATGGCCTGAACCACTGATTGAGCACCTGAGGAAAGGATCTGGTCAACTGTGGGAGCACAGGTGAAGGCAATTCAGCTGTATGACTGAAAGGCATGGAGCCTGGCTGCACCTTTCTTAGTCCCCATTTAAGGGTTTGCTGCTGCTTTGGAAGGATCTCTGTTTGGAGACTGCCTTGTGGAGTCTTTCCTGTGAGCCGAGATCTTTAGAGATGGGTGAGCACCTTTACTTTTCCTTTTAAATACCATCCAATCTGTGCTGGTCCCTTTGCTGTTACATTCCTGCATCATCCTTCCACTGTGTCATCTTTCCAATTGTAACAAAAGTTTCACTGGTTACTTATATTATGGTAAGATTTTTGTATATAATCAGGATTTTTCATGCAGTTTATAAATCTTTATGATATGGCTGGACTGAAGCTTTTCAACATCAAATTGTCACACATAGTTTAATGTTGCTCATATTTCTTTGTGAGAAATAAATAAAAAACCTGTACTTTTCTTTTTACTATGTTATTTTTCAATCCAGAAGGTTTCTAAAACACACTGTGGCCCATCAATGTAGCTTCAAGAATTAGCTGACAGTCCACCAAAGCAGTCACAGCTTTTTAATAGTACACAGCTGTTCTACAGTATCCATCTGCTTAGAGTGGAACTGAAGGCTGCTACATTCAACTGAGAGTTCAAAAGTACTTTACGTAAGCAGAATCAAATTGTGTAATGCAAAATAGGAAGCAATTCCCAAACAAGACTTTTTGTTTATTCCTACCATACCTAAATATAAAATAACAATGGACAGCTCAGTACAGGCAGTTGCTATAATGATGAAGGAAACAAATTTAGAATGACACCCACTGAAGCTTTATGCTTTTGACTTCCATGCAGGATCTCACTAGGTAATGAAAGTTTGAAATGCTGATGTCATGCTAGGACAGTGTAAAACTAAAACTTTTACCTGTGCTTCACACAATAGCTCAGGCTGCATGTTTAGTTTGGCTGACTGAACAACATGATAGGCTATACGCTTTACAATTAGTGCTTAATAATTTGCCAATTTTCAGATTCAGTGAATCTCAAATTGCAGTTACTGATCCTTATTGTGTAGTTTAAAATGATGTTCTGATGGCTGCATTTGCAAGGGTGGTGTGCACAGGAATGACCCTGAGCTGTAGTTGCCTTGCAGCCACGTGCTTGCTTGTGGCCCTACCTTTTCCTTGCAGCAAGTCAGAGTAAGGCCTTCCAGACACTACTGCTAATTTAACGCTAAATGAGAATGAAGTTATTTAAAGCAGCAAGAAATTAGCCCTTTTAAGTTGCATGGTTGAAAGGTAAGGGAATTCTTGGAGGAAAAAAAAAAAAAACATATTGTGCAATTTTTCTTTCTAGTCTGGCACTTTGCAGTAGATCCACTTGGAAAACCCTTTCTTTCTTTAGAACAGTACCTCTGCTGTGGCCTTGCTGCTGCGTCAGGCAGCCTAACAGTTTGCTGATTGCTCAGTCTCTTCCTTGTACTGGGGGGCTGAAGGTCTTCAAGGACAAATTTCCTACAGACTTGGAGACCTCCACCTTTTTATCATCAGTTGTGCCTGTCACCTTTGTGCCTAGCAGTTATGTAGCTATGTGGTGAGCAGGATGGGAGGACTCAAATGTCTGGAATGCAAGTGTTTCTTTTCCCAGTTTGTGTTCCATTGAATCAAGTCTCTGATCTGACATACAGCTTGGCTACACGAGTGTCAGAAGGGACGCAACAGCTGGGGACTGAAGTGAAGCAATATAGATTGGCTGGCTTAAGAGCAACATGAAAGTGCGCCATAAATTGTGATCAAAGAGCTGAATTGCCTGTTCTGTCATATTTGTGCTTATCTGTAAAAAGATAATTTGTATATACAAATATAACTTACACATTCAAATAGCTATTTATGCTGTAAAAGACTCTTCTGAGGGTATAAATGTGCACCGGACTTTGGTACAACTAGTTCTATCCTGGCAAAATTGCTTTCAGTAAATATGTTACCTCAAGGAATCATTAGGATTTTATTCTTAAGAACAGCAGGATTTAGGACAGCAAATTTGGATTCTTTACTTTATGTGGAAACATAGTGCATGCAAATGCTACTGAGGTCTGTACTGAGGACGTTTCTTTTGTCTATTCTGTATAGGTATATTCAGATATAAAGAATTTGCTTTCTACAGTCAGTGCTTTTTCCTCTCTGTATGCATACATACAGGTATGTGAACATGCTTCAACTTTTCTTCTGCTTCATCTACTTTTTTCATAGAAGTGAAAGAGTTCTGGAAACGTGAAATATGCTACACCTTGAAAGAGCAGCTGATTATGGTGGAAGGCACATTACATTATCTCATTGTGTTTGTAGGCCTCACATTTTACTCTGAATACTGGCAAACTGTCATGATGAAGGCTGATAAAACGAAATGTTCCATCAAGCTATACTGATTGACTGAAGTGTATACAAAACGATTTTCATGCACTGAAACAGAAATTTCTGTACTAGAAAATAAAAAGGGGCAATAAAACAAAACCCAAACCAGAGATAAGAAATGTCTTAAAGCCAGTTAAGCATCTACCCTTAGGGAACAGGTCTTACAATTTCTTTTTTTTTTTTTTAACTTCAACTTAAAAGATGCTGTCCTCTTGCCTAAATGTGTAACTACAACAAATATTCATGTCTATTCTTCATAATATGTGGGATATTAAGTACAAAATATGCCAAGACAATGAGCAGAAGGGTACTAAATCCTCCATGGCAGTCATTAATGATTACCTGTCACAAACTGCAGTTGGCTTTAATTTAATTTTCAAGGTACAATTCCTGCCTCCTCTGTAGGAGACCTAAGCCTGCTGTAGAGCATTCTTGAAGAGCTGCATTAGTTAACTTGTTTATCAAATGTGATACATCCCTCCATGTTTTGTGTCTCAAATGTGCTATTTTTCAAAAAGGAAGTCATTCTGAATAAATTGATATTTTATTAGTCTTCACAATGAGGCAAGTGTTGAGTGCAGTTGAACAGTTAATTCTCTAAACATTCATCTCTTACTAGGATAGCATTGGAAATAGGAAGCTTTGCTAAACCAAGGCAGGTTGTCTTTCCCTGTAAATTATTGTCCCTATTCTGCATACTCATACCAATTTAAATGAGCTGTTCATGCAATTCTATATAATGTAGCGTGTTTCCCTATGAATAAGGGTAGCAAAATTGTTACTTAGTTCCAGGAAAAGTCACTGAATTCATGTTGTAGTACGATATTTAGTTTTGCATGTTAATTTCCAGCTGTAGATCTCCAGATGATTTGCAGTCTTGAGCTGCCTGCAAAGTTACGGCTTTGTAAGAGCATCACAGAGGTGAAGTGATGAGCAGTGATTAAGCCAAGAACAGACCCCTTTCCTTTACCCTACAGGCTTTTCCCTAACAGAAGTTGTTTTTCTTTGTTTTAATTTTTTTTTTTGCCATAGAGAAGAGAAAGTGCAGAGCCAGACAACAAATAAAAAGAACTAAAAAGGAGAAATTCTGGTTGGGAATGTCTCAATTGCACTTCTGGGACTGTCTGCATCCGTAGGCACAATTCATTCCAGTCCTGAGCATTATTGATTTTATGCCTGAGGATTTCATGCAAAATTGTATTTCTATATTAACTGTAATTTTATTTCTGGTTCTCAATGTCAGTATTGTTTTTTCAGAATTTCTGACCTGCTTCTGTATTATTACTGCATCTACTGCCATTTTTAATAAGCTTTAGAGCCAGTAGATTAACACTGAATGTCAAACACCACAATTAGAATTGCCACTGTTACACAGAAACATTGCTTTAATATATTAAAAAAAAATAACCTTTTTCTATTGCCTCAGAATCTGCATTCATTTTTGTTGTATTTGCTTTTTCTCAGAATTTTCTGGGCTCAGAGGACCTGTGTACGTGAACCATGGAAAGGAAGAAGGAAAAGTGACATAAACAAAAATGACAATTGTAAGTGAAATTCAATTTCATTTCATTTCTCTTAAAAGGTGGGCTACGCTGTTTTGCTGTCATTTATTTGTCAAGATGAAAAAATAAGTGTTTCTAATGAATCAGTCTATACCTACATAACATGGACTTACTAGAGAAACAAATTTAAATGTTGAATGTCATTATTCAAAGAAGCAGTGCTGTACACATACACCCAATGAATTGTGTACCATCTCTATGCATTCAGATTACAGCACATAGTACTCTGAAAGAGAACAAAGACGCTCATTAAGTCCCCATTAGTGTAACACATCAATATAAGTAATTCAATCAATACATACAGTATCTTTTGAGGAAAGGTAGCAAATGTTATGATAAGCTGGCAATTTACTCATTTATGTGCTGGAGTCTGTCATGTAATTTTCTTTGTTACATATATCCACAATCAGAAATAAAGGTACATCACTGGGAAATATACAATAATTTCCTAAAATGATCTGTACTAAAACTGCTACCAGAAGTGTAAATTTTGCAGATGTTAGGTGATTGCACTGACTCCTAACAGCCTGCCACTTGCAAAATGTACTTCATTATGCTAATCCCAGCTGGCAGACTGCAGGGCAGGAGCAACAGAAGCAGCTGCTCCACGCAGAGGTGGGGCTGTGAAAGCAGTGTTATCCCTGCTTCTGCCTCAAGTAGGGGGCTCACAGTGATGGGAAGTGCAGATACATTCCTGATGACATTTCTTTTTCATGGCTGCAGTTACTGTCCCAAATGGCACTGACTTTCCAAGCTCAAAAGAAACTTTTTATCTAAATTAAAGAGCACCTCTAAATGGAAGAAATGCCTGGGATAAAAGCATGTAACACATTTATTTGGCACATAACTGTATGTGTAGCACACAACTTCCTTCAATTGAGCCACATTTCCTTATTGACTTTACTGGGAATAAATCGGAATCTGGAAACCTTCTTTCACTGTAGTGCTGTGATTAGGACTGCACAGCATTAGGTTGTGTTTCCAACTTCTGCAGCCTCTGCTGTAGCAAGGAGGAGCCTTGACTACATATGTGGTGTTGGCATCAGTTCTCCAGCTCAGGTTTACTTGTGAGCCTCAGCACTGCCAGGCTCTTGCCCTGCATGCACATGGTGTTGCTGCTTCTGTGCCGTGTTGTTAGCCTCTATCAGTGCTATGCCTGGCTGCACGTGGCTGAATGGCACATAATGTGAATGCACCCTAAAAATACATATACCCTATGGTAAGTGGTGGGTGCTCTAAACAAGAGGAGACTACATGTAATTTTTCTATAGCAGAAGGAACAAACTTTCTACAATTGCCTGCTAGCATGCTGAAGGTATGGTTTAAGGGCAAGGATTCCTTTTATCCCAACACATTACAATTCATTACAGAGTAAGATGATAACAGAAGCTCTGAGTATGCTCTTCTCCCTGCACCACCCTAGGAAGCAATAAATTAGAGTATATTATGTTCCCTATCAGTTCTACCCATCACAGGCTTGTCTTGCTGGAGACATGATAAAGAGAAACACCTCAGATAAAGTAATGCAATTAACTGCTGCCATTTGAAATCTGAAAAATTATATTTCCTCATTCCCAGCCCATCTGTCTGTTTTACTGTTTTTTAGTAGAAATGCTGTTTAATGACTTGCTGGCTGCCTGTAGAACTCCTTTCTGTAGTGCAGGCTGATGTCCTACAAGAAAGGTCAAAAGCTTGCAGCAGTAGCAGCCAACCCATAGCTGCCCTGAGACAGGAATATCTGGATGGGAATGCATCCTGCAGCCCTTGCTGAGGGTATGATGGCCACATCAGTCCTGTAAGGCTCATGTGTGCCTTTGAGGTGAGAAGATCCTGTGGTGGGACCATGCAGGAACCAGAGCCAGGAAGGTGTAGTAACCTGACCATGGCACTAGATTTTCCTTGGTGTATTTCTGCAATTTAAGCAATATAGTGCCTTCCAGCATTTATCTTTAAAGGGACTTACAGCTCCTAGTTTGTACTAGAGGAGCTATGTGAAGTACACATATTAGAATGGAAAATAGTAGTCTATAAAATGGGCCACTATTTGTAAGGGTGCAAAAGTAAAAGCCCTCAGAGAAAGTGAGTTGGTTTTTTTTTTCCTCAGATGCAGAATTCAGGGCTGTGCTATGCCATGCACAAAAACAATGTGCCTCTCTAAAACTATGCAGCATTTCAGTTTTCTCAGTTACACTTTATATAAAACACCTTGCATGTACCACATGAGTATGATCAGGCCCAAAATAAAGGTTTTTAAGGGTGGGGAGTGGCATAGCTCTACTTGTAACGATGACCTTTAAGAAAGCATACAAAAACACCCCGTTCAGCGTGGCCATCTGTGATGTGTTAATGAAAAAAAATAAAAGCAACTTCAAAAGATTTATGCCCTTAGATTTCTTCTTATCTCCTAATTTTTGATTGGGCATATGCTGCGTGTGATGCAGTGAAATCAATGAAAAATAGCTCTAAATTTTAGCTGATGGCTGGAGTCAGCTTAGGGTCCTAAATTTTAAATGGATTTGAGATTTTCTGTGAATTTAGTTGCATAGAATTTGAATATATTAGTTCAATGAACAATATTTTATGTTGATGCTTGCAAATTTGAAAGTTGGCCAAAAATTAAAAGATAAATAAGAAAGCAAGTCTGTTAAATTATCTTTGATTTTAATACCCTTGCTATGTCATGATGAACTATTTTGAATGGTTTATTACTGTAATTTATCTGACAAGCAACCTGAGAGTCACTGGTCTTTGTCATAGAAGCTATTTAAAAAAAAATAACAACTACCTCCTTGTTTGTGACTATCACCATCTATATCTCTGTACTTACCTGTACGTATTTTGGAATGCATTCCCGACTAGCTTTAGATTATAAAATCAATTCCTCCATCTGACATTATGCCTAGTCAAGCTTTCTGAAGGCCAATATTTCTTAGACTGCTTTGCTAGACTTAATTTTAGAATCGTTATTTTGCGGAATTAAGAAATGGAAGTACAAAAATATTTAAGCTTGCAAGAAGCTTCAACTCTGACAACATTCTCTTGCAGTGTCTTGTCTTGAACTAGACTGGGGAAACTGTATATACACATATATGTGGATGACTGGAAGCCTGCCTAATGCCAGAAGTTTGGCTATGATGCTCAAAACCAGAATTTTCAGAGTGTTTTGCTATCCGTGAACATGTTAGAAGAAAATTTTTGAAACTGTGAGTATGTTGAATACACGAAGGGAGATTTAAGTATTTATTATGTGATTAAAAAAACTTTATGCCACAGTAAATGTTTTATTAGGACTTCATGATTTTATTCCAATTCTCCGAAGCTTCGTTCAGTGAGACCTATCCTTGGATTCAATTAAATTAATTCATAGTCAAGAATTCATTGAAATCAACAGATGTTCTTACTGAATAAAACCTGAGAGGCAATAGAATGAAAGCTCCAGGAGGTATCTGAGTATTTATGAGGTCCCAGATCATCTTGTCACTTTCCAGCAGCTTTTAGCTCCACATGCATCGCACTCCTCTGAAGCTGCCCTGATTTGCCATCAGCTGATCTCTCTCTGATGCCAGCTCAGGCAAGTGACTTAACCTCAGTGTGCATGATGTTTCTTGAGCTACAAGCATAGCACTGTGTCTTCAGCTTGGGCTAGCCTAATTGCCTTCTTGCTCCCAGGTTATTCAGTATTTTTCCTTTTGTTATGCCTTAGTTTCAGCTGAGATCGAATTGTTTTCTTCAGAGTGTCTGGTATGATGCTATACTTTTGGTTCATGGAGAAAAACAATGTTGATAACACACTGTTTATAGGTGCTGTTAAGCAGTTGTTGTACAGAGCCAAGGCCATCAAAGAAGGGGCACGAGGAGCTGTGAGGGAACAGAATAAGGACAGCTGACTTAAGCCAAAGGGATATTCCTTACCATATGACATCGTGTGGAAGGAGATTTGAAGGGAGTGAGAGTTCATTTCTTCCTTCTGCTACTAAGGGGGCACGCTGGGTACTGGTCAGAGCGTGGTAAGCAATTGCTTTTGCATCACTTATATACGTTCATGTATATATAGTAATAACTATTATCCTTCTTCTTTTCTCTGCCTTAGTAAATAGCTTTACCTCAGACCAGGATTTCTACTTTGTTTTTCCTGATTTTCTGCCTCATCCCATTGGAAGGAGGGGAGTGAGCCACCTGCTGGGTTAAACCATTAGTCAACATAAGAACTGAACGTGATCCCTAGAGTTTCAAATAAATTCCTGTTATGCTAAAAGGCTAGGTTTTAGTTTGATATGGATATAAAGAGAAACATAGAAAAAGGAAGAGTTTGAAGGAGCAGGCAGAGACTGGTGTGTGTGGTTTATCTGGGTTATCCTGCAAATGCTCTCAATGTGGGATAGGCAGAAAAATGCAGATAAAAAGGCGGAAAAACAAATGTATGACATGAGGAAACATGAATAACAAGTGTTTTTGTCTGAGTGTAAGCTGTGCCTTGTAGTAGAGCTGCTTCCTCAGATACCACCTTTTGTTAATTAAAGAAATGCTTTATAACAGAATAGCTGTCATAGATGATATAATTGCTATCACTAGGATATCTTAATTAAATTACACTGCAGGCCACAAGTCCTTCAGGGCACCTTCATTTAAGATGCTTGATATTTGTCAGTCACCACCATGAATGGGTTATTATTCTTTCAGTACCACCTACAAATGGGAGCTTTATTAGCAGAGTCTGCAGCAGTAGGGTGAAGCGAGGCTTAGGCTGGTGTAAATACAAGTGATAAAAGAACTGAAAAAGACTACATAGCCAGAATTTGTCATTAACAATTGAATTATATGTTAAAGATGGGTTTTAAACTCAGTACTGTCAATACTGCTATTTGTTCTTGCTCATAGTTGAGGAGACTGCCAACCCATATTCAGCCTTTTGATGCCAGAGGTTCAATTAGACTCAACATCATAAGTCTCTATACAATGTTTATGGTTCAGTTACCATAGTAGGATTAATCTAATGGTTTAAGCTAGACAGAGGGGGGAAAAAAAGTCTTTCTGCTGGGTTATTCTACATATTAATATTTGTTTACACTTTGCTTCTGCAGTAGCAAGTCACAGAGTGGTCTTAGACCAACAGCTTGCCGAAAGGTGCTGCCATGAGGCATTCCCAGTCTTGACAGCATTTTAATACATCTGATTGTCAGTTTTATTATTTTGCCAAGTGCCAGTTTCTCTTTCATTGCTGTCATGGTGATGTGCTGTCATGCACTGTTCTTTGAATCTCAGGTGTTCGCTTGTTCCTGTACCTTGGAGAAGGTTTCTAATCATGCAGCAGAACAGCCACAACCTGCAATCATGAGTTCATGAGTATATCAGGAGTCCTAATGCTCCACAGAGAGATGTAAGGAGCAACAGTAAGGCTGGGCCTCACAAACATTTGGTGCTGCTCCTCTCCTATTTGGGATGGGCAGGTCCTTCATGTGCCACTCCTAATTCCCACCAAAGACTGTGGAAATTTTTGCATGAGCGAAAATTGAAGTTGATTTTCTCCAAGACAAACAAACAGTAGTAAGAGTCCATGATGTTGAAAGTCTTCCAAAAAAAAAAGTTAGATAAAAGAAAGAAGGAATACACCACATTATATCTGAGTACTGTGAGTAAAATCAAGTTGTAAGGGCACTGCAGGGATAAGTGATGTACCCCTTCAATCACCTCAGATGAAGACTTTTGCTGTTTTATTCTTTGGAGTTATTTTATTGCTGGACTCTGTATAATTTTTTCCTATTTCTGTGTTGTTTTTAAATTGGTTATGAAGTATGACATAAAATAATTCACTGAGTTGAAGTTAGGAATGCACAGAATGTTCTGCAAAAAGTACTACTTTGAGAGCAGGCTGCAACATTACGTCTGCGCAGCATTAGTAGAATGGTCAGCAATGATGTGTGCACACATACCTTCGGAAACAAAACTCTTCTGGGCTACTGATGTATCAAAAATAACAAATGTGAAAGTGATCTTGTAGGGAAGTATAAGTTTAACCGATAAAAGCAGCATTCCAGATTCCGTTCTCCTTAGTGATTTCATGTATTCTATCTTTAAAATACTTTAAAGGGCATCAGCAGTGTAAGTCAAATGGTAAGATGTGCTCAAAGGATTCATGTCGGCTTTTGAGTTATTAGACAAAGACTGAGAAAGGCCTGCTTAATTTTTGCACTCATCCATAACAATTCAAGTACTTGTGAGGACAACACAATTTCTTTATTTTAGTGCAGTTTCTCTTTCAATTTTAGAGGAAAATTGTGTTTATACGCTGGTGCATGACGTACTGCAAGAGTAGTGACATAGAAAGTAGATTTTGTGCTACATCCCTAAACTATTCCAAAGCTTGAGGGGAGATCATCTGTAGTCTCCTGGATAATGTCAGTAGAGGCTGAGTAAAATCTCCCTAGAAATATGCATTTACTCTTCAGTGCTGTGAAAACCTAGATAAAATCAGGACTGCGTTGCTTGCTTTCTCATTCTGAATAAATGCTATGGGAAAGTCTGTTTAAGGCAGGATAAAGTGGGAATAACTTTTGTGACTTCATTAAAGCTGTGGTTGACCAGAAAGTTAGGGAATTAAATCCACGTGCATATATGAAGTTTTACTAGATTATCTTTAATTAAAATCAATTTTCTCTGAAAAACCACATCAGCACCTCTGAAGACAAAGACTTTGACATTCAAGTATGTGTGAGCTAAATTAAGTTTTGTTTTCCCAACCACTCACAACTGATGCTGCTACCGTTATTGGCATTTTCGCTTGTGAAAGTACTTAAGCCTCAGAAATGTAAAGTTTTACAGACAGAGAAGCAGCGCTTGTGCAATACTTTTCGTAGGAAGTGTTTATTGACAGATGCTGTTCCAAACCTTCCAGCTAAAGAAAAAAATGTGAATTCTTTATTCACAGCTGAGAGCGTTTAGTCCCCAGAGTAGCCTCCCTGAAGGTACTGCAACTATTTCTGAGAGCTAATTGTGTGGATAACATGCAATACTGTAAAATGGGATTGGTGACTGGAGTGTTGTTAGGAGTGCTTGCTTACAGAAATTCAGCTCTAAGACAAAGCTGTCCTTACTTATGATTTTTACAGGTAGACTGTGGACTGTCTCTTTGGTCAAGCAAACAGCCTGAAAGGAAAGTTACTAGGGAAAAAAAAAAGCAGAAACGGATTCTAAAATAAGTTATTACTGTCGGTGACACTGTCTAAAACTAAAATAGAGAGGTGATAATGGTACGAAACAGGAAAGGAGGAGTGTGAAGAATTGAGGTCATCAGAAAAGAAGAAAATAATTGAAACTCAAAAAACCCACTTTTTTTTTCCTCATTAATCCTCATTTCTTTTAGATTATTCCTCAGGAAATCATAGCCAGGTCTTTTTTTCCTAAATGATAAAACAATATATGGGAGTTCTTCTGTTCTTTTTGAAAAATTGGTGATGGAGAAGATTGTCTGTTAATACAGTCCTACGTATTCAGTATTAACACGCAGAAGGTCCTACTTCCTTGGAGTTATGAATATACAATCTGGAAGTAGGCTCTTATTGGACTCAAGCACCTTCCCAGACAAGGTTAAAAAGTACTTTTTCTTCTTTTCAGCACTCTTTCTGAATTTGACAGGTATTCGGCTACAGTTTCTTCCCATTTCCTAGAACATGATGTTCTAGCAAGAAGTTATTTGTGTCAAAACTGCTCTCATAACTCTTCTGATCAATTGTGCCTTTAGTCCCCATTTTAGTCATGGTCCCAATTTCTTTATTCTAGGAGCTAATATCCTAAGAAGAAGGTAACCATTATAATCAGCAACCTGCACAGCATTTCACGTATCCCTAGTCAAAGCACGATGGATATGTTCACAAGGGAAAATCAGGGAAAAACTACTTCACAAAAATGCCTGTATGTGCCTGTGGGACTTGTCCTGAGATGGTAATGTTAGCACTGAAAGTGTAGGGTAATAGGATCATGCATTACTTGGAGTCCCCAGAGGTCTTGGCTCTTTATTGCTAGCTTTTTTTTTTTTTAACATGTGCTAACACAATCCAAATAGCAGAGCTACTCATGCACATAAAATGACTGCTTCATTTTGCTGAGTGTGAGGTGAAGAATTGAGTGCCTGGTCTGAAGACGGCAGGCTACCTACAATGAAGAATTCTGCACACAAAAAGGAAAGTATAAGAAAATAAAAGGTCACCATCTTATGATGGGTAAAGCAAATAGGATGGAAAAATGTTAGATTACAAAAAATGAATTACCATTAAGTCATTTTACCTACCGTAAAATTTTCTCTCATTCCTCCATCTTACTA